AAAGAAAGTGTTAAGACAAAATATAAGTTCGTCGAAACTCAACAAAACAAATACCATGATGAAGAAAGATTTTGGGGCCATTTTCAAGATTATATTTATTTCTCAAGTTTCCATGATTCATTCACTAGGGAGATTTGTGGGAACTTACCAACCAGAAACAGCTGTAGACATGAGACCTAACCATTGATTTGATAAACGATGGATTTCCAGATTGCAGATTACTTTGGAGTTTCTCTGCAGCTTTGTAAGCTTGTGTTCTTTCTTCATAAGAGGCAACTTTGACTTCTTCTATTGGTCTTGCAAGATAACTGGAAGTCCAATAAAAACCATTGCATCAAATTTAAATAAATGCTGGAGACAAAACTAAAGTTAGATTTTAAAGAGTGGGTGTCACCTTGCCCATGAAGATGAACTCGACCTTGATCTCTTGCGCAGAGATGGAAGTTCTACGTCTAGCTGAAATTAAAAGGTGAAATAATAATTGGTCACATTTTTTTGCTAGTCAAACAAAGATATTGGCTTAGCAGCTAAACATTGGAGATGAAGATGAAGGATAAGAAGAAGAATAAACTGCTTACATCATCATGGTAAGATTGAACCGGATTACGCACACGTGAGGAGCGTCTTGGTTCTAACACGTACGTGGCATTTGGTATGCGCCTTGCTCTCTGGTAATGCATTCAAGTAAAGGCTTTATATGAAGAAGATAAAGTATCACTTGAAGACTAATTCTAGCAAAGTAAAAAATGTTAGAATTACTTAAAAACTGTGACAAAACTCTCACCTGAACCAGAACCTTCTTCTCGGGCTTTGCAATATCAGATAAGCCTTTGGAGATGTTCAAAATGCCCAAATCCTTTGAAGCAACAGAAAGACATTTCAATTTCTTGTCAGCATTTAGCCAATATACATATTATCTCAAAAACCAATATATGATCGTTTCTAGGCATTTAGCCAATAATAAGATAATTCAACAAATGTTTTGGAGATGACACACAAAAAATCATGTAACAAATGCTACTTGCAATGTAACTACTTTCCCAGAACAAAGGGTACAGATTCATGTAAAAAGGTGAAATTGACCTCAAACCGTTTCTTGTTTTCAAGAACTCGTTGCTTGCGAGCCTCTTCGTAGCTGTTGCCATTGTTGTCTTTTGCCATGGATTGCAATATAAACACAGCACTACCAAACCTGAACACCACCAACAACATATCGTTCATTGTCACTGTCATTTCTTCGTCAAACCCTTTATCCGAAAGCTCACAGGAAACTCAGATGCCTTCTCATAATCTCATTTAAGAAAGCTTACACTTTGTGCACTATATTTCCGTTAAAAAGATCCCATTTTTATCCCACCTTAAGCTTACAGAGCTGTAATTTATTGCCCCATGTGCCTTATCCACACACTAGTCAAACTTAACATAACTCCACAGACTACATTCCCAGTTCATACATTTAAGAAACTAAAACTAAAATTCTTTTCAAAAAGAACCAATGCTAAATCAAACAATAAAAAATAGAGAATCGCGATTGATTTGTACATAGAAAAGGGTATATGAAAATATTTTTCCATTTTGTCAAGTCCACTCGGAAATGAGATAACTCATTGGGAGTTTTAGGTGAAAAATGAAATGAATTTGGGAAAAAGTTCGAACCTGGGATTAAATAGGAAAGGAAATCTAGGGTTCTAGCAGAAAGGAGCCGGTCGGAGAGGAATTGGGTTCTGTGGAGGTAAGAAATGGTAAATGAGGCTGTGGAAGAAGTGACGACAACTGTTTGAAATTTGAATGCATGTATTTACCGCCTCAAGGGTCATACAAACTGGTGGACAAAAATAAAAATAGTACTCCGTAAATGTTTAAAATGATACTTCCTTTCTTCCCAAAAAGAATGTTACATTTTATTTTTTTGCGCATCACAAAAAGCATTGCTACTCACATCTAAAAATTCTAAAATTTACCATATTTACTCTTTATTATAAGATGAAATTGTTTTGAAAGTTGTTTTGGCATTTGAGACGATATAAAAGTGTTTTAAGGGATGCACAAAAAATGAAACGTAACATTCTTTTTGGGACGGAGGGAGTACTCAATAATTATATGTTTTTTCAAATTAATCTTCAAAATAAGCTAACTATCGAGATGATACTCGTTAATTGAAAATAATGCTCAATTTAGTCTCCCAACTAACGGTCGTCAAAACGGCGTCAAAACGATATTAAAACTTATTCTACTTTTCTAAATTGATCATCTACAATTAGGTGTTTTTCTCAAATTAGTCTATTTTTGATATAAAAACTTACTCCGTATTTAATATGAAAAAACCAAATCAGATCCCTTCCCTTTTAATTGATTTAATGTGTTTGAACCGTTTAAGACTCGGCTTCATCGACATCCTCATGCCAAGCTCCCCCGATTACTTTTCTTCCTCTTCGATCTCTTTCTCCATTTCTCCCCTGTCTCTCTCCTTCGACAAGATCCCCACCCGCACCCTCTCATATCGCCCTTTATGTAGTTGGTTAGCGATGATCGATGTGGTCATCGGGATGTTGGTAGTCACACCCATCAGCCTAAAGAACTAGAGTATGGTTTGACATTTGTACGGCATGACATTGTAATGTTTCAAGTGACATCGTACGAAATGATTTTGTAGCAAACACATTTATATTGAATCATTTGAATATCGATGATACGATATGGATTCTATAAAAAAATCAAATAGTCACGACCACTTTAGGAAGAAGGATTCCACGACCCTGATGCTCTCGTTGTTTCTTGTCTTTTTTGGAGTAAATTACATAAATGGTCTTAGTCCTCAATTTTTGAAAATTATTATATAATCAATCTTGCACTGACTATTTTTGGAAATTGTTTCAACCATATTTGGCCTAAAAGATTATTTATGAAAAATTTTGTTCGCGTTGTCTTTCTACAACTACTCCCGCCTCACATCCTCCCTCCCACTCTTCAGCCTCTCGACCACACCCCATTTTCCCCCCTTCGGGAACCATGCCCCATTGCCTTAAAATTGTCATTCTAGTTTAAATTTTTGTGTTAGGGGGTGGGTTAGGGGGTAGGAACCGTCAACTTTGTGAACAGAGCACCAGAGGTGCCCCAAAATGCCAGTGGCACCGCTAGTGGCACCGAACTTCGGTGTCACTAGAACCCCACCCATATATATATATATATGACCCAATTAGATTCATTTGAAGATCTAATTTCAATTTGTTTCGTATCAAATTCATATACTAACACTTACTAGTACTACGTATTTGTTAATTTATGATCAATGAAACTAAGAGATGATTCTAAGACGGGGAATAATAATCTTCTAAACCCTTCATAATATTCCAGTGTGATTGCCTCACCTTTCAATTTTCTAAATAATGTTCCATGTAAAAATGCCATTTGTCGATTTGAAATGTCATCCAGCACTTGCTTTCAGTTAAATTTGCAAAGTAAATCTATGCCTTAAAAAACAATTCATATATCAAACATTAATTACCGTATATGGTGCTACTTCAAAAAATCCAATAAATCTAACATTAATTATCCACTATGGTGTTACTTCATACGAACAATGTGCGACAACCCAATAAAACCCATAAAAAGTAGAGTATAAAACTTGAAAAACACATAAAAACTTGTAAAAGAAATCTTGCACGGGATGATCAATTGTTGTAAACAGACAGATTAAAAACATAGTTCTCAGCTTATTTCCAGGTAATATTTTTTATTTTTAAAAAAATTGGGAATTTCAACATCAACGAAGAAGGTTCACAGCTTCATCCATGAGTATCTGTGAGACAACTTTTCATGTTCCTGGTATTGCTTCACATACCTGCATGTATGAACCAGTGAAAGAATGATTAATAAGGAAGAATACAAGCGAAAGAATGATTAATGGTGTACGGAGTATAATTCAATGGATGATATAAAACTCCCCATTACTACTTGTATGGCTAAGTTCACACCAAACCATACTGTTCAAGAAAATAAAGTGGGATGAAACTAATCAGAGTATTTTCAAGGCTAGTTTGATGAGCATAGCAATGTTGAAATGAAATGAGTTTGGAAATCAAGACGGAACATATTATGTCTTGAAACTTGGAACCCAGCTCTTTGGATGAAAAAAATTAGAACGGTATCAAATGAACTTAAGTCTAAGGGGCTGTTTGTTTCAGCCTCTTAATGGTTCAGATGTCTGAATGGTTAAGAGATTTGCCTCTGAATGGTTAAGTATTATACAGAGTCTGAATGGTTAAGACCTCTTATCTGAATTGATCAGACATTTGCCTCTGAATAGTTAAGCAATATACTAGCTCTTAATGGTTCAGACTCTTGCTGGTTCAGCACTTAATGGTTCAGACCTCTTACTGGTTCAGCACTTACCGATTCAGAAGTTGCCAAACAGCCCCTTAGTGGTGGAGAGTAGAATGGGGTCAACAATGGTCGTGACTTGATTCCATGATTGGGGAGATTCAACCCTATTTCTTTTCTCTTTTTTTGAGGGGTGTGTACGTGGTCGGAGTGGGGTGGGAATGTGGGTGGGGGCAGGATTATTTCATTGGCCTGGTTTCTTTGAGGTTCACCAAACATACACTGAAGGGACTATGGAGGATGTATGGCCATAGAACTTTATTTCTACATACGTGTTTATTTTTAGTTGAGCTATATGTTTTGAACTTCTTGGATGTGGAATAAATGCACTTTTGATATCCAATGAATCTAGTAGGGGTAAGTTCTATGGCCATACACCCTTCCTAAACGAGATTTTTGTGGAATTTTCACAAACACCATCTTTGCCAACAGATGTAGAAGAAATGGCATTTCATACACATTCCAAGCTTATGGACTAACCAGCATGCCTTTGACATTCCAAGCTCTAGATGTAAAACAAATACATGTCTAGATTAAATAGCACATCAAAGACGAGCAATTTCAAATAAAGTATGATGAGAAACCATTCAAGTATCACAAGTGTTTATGTGAGCCTATATAATCAATGATAACACACAAAAAAAAAGGCAAATATTGTTCTATCCTACGTTTATTCTTTAAAATATCATTTCCTATCCCACTGCAACTTAGTTCTAAGAAATCAGCTCCAGTATAATTCTATTACTATACAAATTGCAGATTGGACCTACCAAGCCTACCATGTAATGAACCCATTCTTCTATGCCAAAAATAATTGCAGTGTGTGTACCAAAAGCATGTCATTTCATAGAAATGGCCCACCCAAACAAAATCTAATCAAAACAAAAGGAAATCATTCATGCAGAAAACATAGATTTCAGTACGTAATAATTAGCAAAAAGTCGGAAGATCAATTTAAGGACCGAGGCAAAATAAAAAATCTATGCGAGATAATCGATTTATGTAAAAGCGTGGCGGCACGTACCAGTGGACGCCGATGAGAGGGCCGAGCAATAGGGATGCGCTGATCTAGTTCTCGGAGATCTTGTGGTGGATCTTGCCGGGAAGGTGATAGGGATGCGAACACGAATGAAGCCGGCATGGAAACGGAAAATAACAACGACAACGTGGGAAGTTCGGGAGAGGAAAGCAACGCGGAACTGGGCAGCTTGTCGGAAGGGGAGCGGGAGATGCATGTGGGCCTGGAGGCGCAGGAAGCCCATGCACGTCGAAGTACAAGGGCGAGACGTAGTCCACTTTGGCGGAAGGATTATGTTTAGACATTTGAGTTATTTAATTTAGATATCTCAATACTTTAATTATTGTATTTTAGTATTTTCCTAGGTGAGCGAATTATAAGCTCCTTCGAGGGTTTCTTTACGGTTCTTTACCTCGTCGCTTTTCTTGAACCGTCAGGATAGCAAATGTAGTTTTAGGTTGGGGGTCTCTACTATAAATAGAGATATTACTCCTCATAATTAATAAGAAAGAAAATACCCAAAACCCTAATCCTCTCCCTGTGGCGTGTGGTTCTGCCGCACGATCTCTCTCTCCCTCTTCCTTTCTCACTTTTGTTCCTCTCTTCTAGGAGTTTGGAGACACTCGAAGCTCTCCTTGTGATACTTGTTCGTATCAACTGGTGCTTTCATTGCCCTCGTCATGTCTCAAGAAGCCGGACGCGATGATGAGGTGGCCGCACTCAAGAAATCCGTCAACCAAATGCAGCAGGATTTGGAGCAACGTTTTGCTCGATTGGAGGCGTTAATTTTGGCCAGTAGCAGCAGCCACTCGGATACGCCGCCTGATTTCTCATGGCCTGGTGGGTCTCGGGGACCTCCATTGGACGGCGATTCGGGAACGAAGAATGGTGGGTATGCGCCTCGACCAAAGTTGGAATCACCTAAATGTGATGGGTCAGACCCTCTCCGCTGGCTTTACAAGGTTAAGGAGTATTTTTCTTTTTACGCCACACCCCCCGAAGAGCGGCTCCGTTGTGTAGCCCTCATGTTGGAAGGCGCGGCTGCCGATTGGTTTCAATGGCGTTCAACGAATGGTTTGCTAAACGGCTGGGATGATTATGTTACTAAGTTCCGTCAGCGCTTCGACCCTTTACATTATGTGGATTACTTCGGCCAATTGGCCAAAGTACCCTCACTAGATGTTGAAGTGTGGACTCTACTTTTAAAATGCCAATTGAACACCTCTCTCAACATCTGAATCTTTCAATAATGGCATCTCATATTGATGTCACATTTTATTCAATGAATGCAGTGAGTCCATATAAATATAATTATAATTTATTTTCTTAATTATAAGTATTTATTATATGATAATTTTTTAATTAAGATTAATTATTTACTCGTTATTATTAATATTACCTTCTTCCTAGAATATATATTTAATTTTGACTTTTTACATTTAAATTAATAAAATTTGGTCTTTAATTAAATAAAACTTATATTAGATATTGATACAAAATTAAATTTCTTAGATTTATGTTGTAAAATATTTTAAAATGTTTTTTATGTAGTCAATATTGTTTCAAAACAAATAGAAAAACAAATACCTAAGAAAATTTTCGAAATAAATGAAAAATAGTCATTCCGTTAAAAAAGAGTTAGAATTCTAGAACATTGCCATATCTATTTTTTTGAAGGTGCCAAATCTAATTTTATTAAAAAAAACTTTCGAGCTCCAAAAAAACTACGAATGCAAACTTTTAAATTGAAAAAATAATAAATATGACACATGTCACATACAAATTGGACCACAATACTTAAAAAACAAATGTCCCAATTCTTCTATCCTCAAGCATTGAATGCTAGGCTAAGTATTTTCCTTTAATTTCTCTCTTTGAACATCTTTATTGGACATCTTTCTACATTCTAAAATAATACTCCGTAACATTCATCAACATCCCACACACTCTCTAGGTTCAGAAACAGAATATTCACAAACTTCACAAACTTACTATTTGTGGTTTAAAATTTCATTTTAAAACCATTTTAGACCATTTAATTTTTTTCATTAAAGTTCATAAATAGTAAGTTTGTGATGTTTGTGACCATTGTGTTTGTGAACTAAGCATTTCCCTATCTGAAATGGCCTAAGACTTTGATGGGCGGACATTGGTTAGTGCAATTGGAACATGTTAATACAAGAAATATGTCACAGTAAAAAGTGTGCACAATTGTGACAACATTGCCATCTTATTTCATGTTCTAATGGACCTATTATAAGACTTATGCAACATATTCATCCTCCCACATCGGACTTTTCCGAGACCGGGAAACCACCGGCGCCGCTGTGTGCCCGGCTGCGTTCATCTGCAACGCCACGTCTCGTTCGGAAGCCTCCTCCGGCGTCTTCTTCTCCTCACTTCTTTTCTTCATACAAGCTAATACTAATATCAAGAAACCCAAAATTACAACTCCACCAATTGCCGTACCAAAAATTACCCAAAATAATATCTTTTTGAATCCATTATTATCCCCACTGCTTTTGCTGCCGTCGATGTCGGCCGCCGGGAGTTTTCCGGCTTGTCCCGAAGCAGGCAATTCGACGACGATGGCAAAATGCCCTTCCTTTGTACCCCTGCATATGTTCCCGTCGACAATAATGTCGAATTCCAATGACCCGTCCCAATCGAAGAACGCACACTTGGCCTGCGCCGGCGCCGGAGCCGGTTTTATCCGTGAGAACTTAATCAGGAAAGGCGCCTCCGATGCCCATAAATCGAGCTCCGGCGGCTCTGAAGCCGACAAATCGGAAGCGTCGTAAGCCAGGAGGCCTAATACAGGGGTCAAATAAACGAAACTTTCCGGAAGTGGGTAATAGAAGCCGGACCAGTTGCCTAAATTATGGTAGACGAGAACCAGCCTCTCCGCGTACGGCTGCGCCGCCACTCCGGCCGGAATGCTGAATTCGTTGAAGCCTCTGAACCCTTTCCTCCTCACGCTCCCGCTCCTCAATCTCACCGCCGAAACTCCGATCCCGGCCAGGCCGGGAGGCACATCGCCGTCGCAGGGCACGCCAGTCCTCTGCCAAGCAAGCGCCCGGAATGCTCGCTCTTGAAGAAGCGCGTCGAGTGAACGCGCCGACATCTCCGCTCTCCCCGCCGGGAAATCAAGAACCATTGAGGCGCACGCCGTCAGGAAACCCAGAAATCGAAGATGTAAAGAAGGGTGTTGGGAACTCTGTTTCTTGGAGATGGCCATGATGATTTAACCCCTCCCGTACTTCACTTTGAATGCGGGCATGAATCAATGAATAATCGTAATGAATGAATGAGGGTATATGGATCATGTGAGTTAATGGGGGATGAGGAAGTAATGAAAGAAGTAGAAGGACGATGGTGGATAACCTCTATCAGTACTTTCTTACTTGATGGGTGAGTCTTGGCATAGATGATGTGGGGTGAGGGAAATAAATTTTGTTTCCAAAATTAAAATGAATTTGTGGAATGCAATTGAAGGGGTGGAGAGTGTATTCAGATCGGGATGGGGTGGGAGATTTCTAAGGGGTTTAGAGAGGAATGAACCGTTAATTTTACAAATAGGAGATCGGCGCCTCCAGATCATCCCATAACATTGCCCAACCTTGCCCTTATTTAAAAGATATTTTAATTTCAATATATATAATTTGTTGGACTATCAAGGGATAACCCAAAATTCGATTACCGTCCGCATTTATATCCGTTTAAAGAGAAAATATTCATATCTCTTTTAAACGGATATTATCCATATTCGATTACTAAACGGATACAGCTTTGGTATGAAATTATATATCTGATCTGTTTAAAATCTAATCCGAATATGCATTCGTTTAAATAACCTTTTATCTGAATATCTGATCCGTTATGTATAGTTTTTTCTAATTTTTCATGCTTATATTTTGCTTCTCTATGAATATTTCAAAATATAAGACATTTTTATATACAAAATAAATGTGTATATGTGTGCTGTGTATATCTTTTTATCATATGGAGTTATCGTAGAATATCATAAATCATGAAAACAAAGTAAATAATTATCCAATACCAAATTTTAGTTGATTAAGTAATAGTTTGACTTTAATCTAATTTTAAATTAAAGTATTGTTTAATTTGATTTTAAAAATAGGAAACAGATACGGAAATATCCGATATCCGATCACCGATATCCAACGGATGCAGATACGATTTTGATTTTCAGTATCCGTCAAGATCCGTATCCGAATTCAACATTCCACAAAAATAAACAGATACGAATTTGTAATGGTACAACCGATTCGATTAATTTATACTATTAATTTAAGTGAAATAAATAAAAAATAGTTGTAGTAAGTAAACGAAATCAAGAAAAGTATGAAATTAGTATGAAATTAGTGTGTCATTCTTGTGAAAGAAAGAGATGATGCATTAAAAAATACTCCTGACCTAAAATGATCTTCTAGTCACTATTCACATTGTCAAACTTTAAATGGAGAAAGACCAAAGCATGACTAAAATATTGAAATTATACCAAAATAGAACTTTCATGTTTTTATTCCCGAAATAAGACTTACCTTACCAAATATGGTCATATCCATTGCCAAAAAATTATAGTAGATCATGTACAATGTCACATTACAACAGTGCAAAGTCTTATTTCTGAAAAAAACATGAATGTCCTGTTTGTGGTACTTTCATCTATGTTTTAGTTCGATCTAGAGCGATTTCTAAACTTTAAATACTTTCTTTACATTTTTTGTTAGCTATTTGATACAATAATATAGTCATGTCACCTCTTATTTTGTATAATTTTTTATATAGTTTTGAAATATATAATTTTTTTTTAAATTTTATACTTATAATCAAATAAATTGAATTGAAAAAAATCTTTATTCAAGCACCGTAAACTAAATTGAGAAGATCATTTTAGGATGGAGAGAGTATGAAAATATGCATACTTTCTCTTCTAATCATTTAATAAGATAAAATGCTTTTTGAAAGAAGGGCATAATTTTACAAAAATATCCACAACACAAGATTATTTTTTTAAAAAAATGCTTAATTCACATCCACAATCATCACAAACTTTGCAAAGTATCCTGTCTTCTTATCTATGGTGACTGGAGCATTGGATCCACCGAAGTAACGCCAAGGTTCAAGCGGAGAGCAGGCGATGGCGATGGGCGGAGGAGAGGCACAGCCCGCGAAACAACTCGAGGAATGCACTGTTTCCAAGTTAGTATCCTTTATTCTTCTTTTTCGAGCTCAAATCCGTCTCCATCTCTTTCCTATCTTCAATTGCCCGACTATTTAGTGTACAATTGACAAGTATCTGGAAGAAATCATCGGCTTCATCTTTCTAATTAGGGTCCGGAACTTTAATTTGGTATGTACAGAACGTGTATGCCTTTGAAATTTCTGTAGCAATTCTTCAATTTCTTCTTCTGAGTCCAATTGTAGATAGCTGTAAGAATTAAGCTTGATCGATCGCTTGAAATTTGATTATATTTTCAAATGTATAGTAATAATTTAAAAAGACAAGACCTTAATCCATGGGTAATCAATTTCATAATTTGAACTGCTATCATTTTCTCTTTTCAAGGAAAATTCCTTACGTGATCCTAGGGTTCATGTTCATTTTATAAATTGTAGTGTATTGATATCGTAAAAGAATTAAGAATTTTGTAAAAAAGAAAAGATCCTGTTGCAAGCCAATGAAAAGTGTGAAAGGATACATATTTCACATGTGGACCTTAGAACCACGGAAGAACTACTTTTTTTTCAAAGTTACACACATAACTTGAACAAAAAACTGATTTTTTCATTATATCCAATTCTTTTAAATTAAAAAGAAGTTCACCGAACAAGTTAAATATAACTAAAGCAACGAATAAATTTTAAAATATAGCTATAATGATGATGATGATGATTTTCAATAGTTTTACCTTACAAACGTATAACACTTGTAATTTGGTGAACAAGGGCCCTTTATACGAATTCCGTAGTAGTTTGTGTTACCTTACATGAAATGAGATGCCCCTGGCTGGAAGATCAACCATGTAAAAATGTCAAACTATCCTCTTCAAAGAAAATGAATCTAGCTATGCAATATATCAATGCCCTTTCAACAGTTGACCACATGCTATTGTTCTTCTGGATAGCTTTGCCTTCTTAAGATTAAGAGAAAAACACCCAAGTGAACTCAAATTTCAAACAGATAAATATTTTATTGTATTTGCCAAATCTACAATCTATATCGCTCCATTTCGTAATATCTGTCTTAGATTTCCCAATATGATGTCTTAACTCAAGTATGCTTTCTGAAATTTTATTGTCAGACATTCATTAGCAATGTGTCAAAGTAGTCATTAGCAAAAAACATACGAAATATTAAGGAAATCGGTTTCTTTAATTCTTCAAGGAAATTAGAATGTGATTCAAGCACAGTAGTCATTACGGAGTAATAGATACTGTATCAAATTATCACTGATTTATCGCTGGCAAATTAACTAATTTTAATCAAATTTGTGACATTAGTCTTTAGATCAGTCTTCTAGATCTATGTCATTTCCATTTTTTAAATAGCTTTTAAGATTTCCTGAAATCCCAGGGAACCTGTAACCAAAGTATAGAACATTCAAAAGAGTAATTTTTTTTGCTCTTATATCTGTTATTAAGCTTGATCCGTAAGTTTTTTCACCGGTCATTAACTTATTTGACCCCGCCGGTTGGATTGGCTGATAACGAAATGAAATGGTGTACACGGTATGTTTTGTCTTAAACTTAAAAAAGAAAAAAAAAACTTGTCTTAAGTTGGAATGGATAAAAATGGCAGTTATGTCCTCATTTTTAGACGGTATTTTCATTGATCTACTAGTCCCTCCGTTCCAAAATAAACTTAATGATTTGACTTCACAGAATTACTAAAAGTGTTGAAAAGTAAAAATTGTATGGTTAACTTATAATTTGCTTAGAAGAAAGAGAAATGACATGAGCCACACATTTCTTTCCTCAAAAGGAAATGAATAAAGTTCGAAATGTATTTCAAGATAGATGAAAAATGAAAGTGTGAAGTTTATTTTGGGACGGAGAGAGTACAAAGGATACAGAGTATAGTTTAAGCAATCTTTTTTATAATTCAACAAGTTTGGCAACTTCAACAGTTCAATAGTTCCTGCCAAATTCACCCTTTACAAAGGGGCTCTCATACAGAAGAGTTTTAGTACTTCTATTTGGTTGTTCCTAAATCCTAAGTAGGGGTAAGGTTGGCATATATACACCCTCCGTAGACCTTACTTTAGCGGGATTTTACTGGGTTTGTTGTTTATATTTTCAAACACCTGATGTGTGATTTTTGTTGCATTATCCATCCATGAAAGGTAAAATGGTAAATTGGGATAAGTTCTAATATTTGTTAGTTCTAAACAAAAAAATTCAGTGCACTTGGGACATGGGTCTTTTCTGTTGCCGGTGCTTTGCTTGCAATACCAGTGGGTATAAAGAGGAAGTCATTAGGACCCCTTGTATTCTTTGGGACAACCGGGACCATGCTTGATATCATTATGGGAATCAATGCCTGTGAGAGAGAACACGCCGAACGCCAGATGAAGCTTATGGAAGCACAAAGTCCTCCACCAGACACCACCGCCATAGAGTGATCATTTTGTCGGATTGCTTTTGATTCTGCCATGGCCGTATTACTCCATTTGTGCTTCTTTGTGTTCTGAGTCTAATTTCTAGTGTTGGTAAGTATGAGTCTTGTGTGTGTGCTCTTAGTGTTCTCATGCTCTTGATATCATGTTGTTGTTGTGTGTACTCTTGTATTCGAGCCAGGAATATCTTGAAAACAGCATCATTACTGCCAAGTAGGGATAAAGTATGTCTACAGATATCCTCTCCAGATTTTACTGAGTTTGTTATTGTTGTTGTTGAACGAGGCAATACCTACCGAGTTTGGCTTGAGACAAAATGTAATGAACTTATTTCAAGCCCATCTTTTTTCTTATCCGGGGTGATTTACTACTATTCGTTTGGTGTCATTTTCGAATCGGTTTGGTACCATTCCGGGCTGATTTTTGGCAACATATATGCTTTGGTTCCCTGAATTGGAGTGTAAGAATATATGGCAAAAAAAAGTATTTTTCCGAAAGTATTCTTTTTCTCCCCAAAACCATATGACTCATTACTCAGGGGGAGTTGCAATTCTCATTTTGATTAGTTGTGCTTTCATTAATTAGACTATACAATTTGTTTTCACTCGAAAAAGTGTGACGATATGTATATCTCTTACACTAAGCTCTCTTTGTACTTTCAATATTTATAACTTCTTTTGATGGTCTAGTAATCTTTAATTTTAGCATTTGTAATTTTGAAGGTAATCTGCACTATTAAAAAAAAATTATACAAAATGTAAACACACAAAGCATTGTTCCCAAACGAAAACTGAAATCTCACTTTATTGTTATCAAAGATCAATTTTATCCGCTTATAATGAAAAAAAGAAGAAAAAAAAAGCATATACTCCCTCTGTCTCATTTTAAATTGTCTGTTTGTTTTTTTTCTTCGTTCCAAAATAAGTTGCCTGTTAGTTATTTTTGTAAACTTTTAAAAATAAAATACCAAAACTACCCATAAAATAAGTCACTCTTCTTCACTTTAGCTTTTCATTCATCATCAACCCTCCTAAAAAATAATGTCAATTTTGAAAAATCAACTTTATTTTTTATTTTTCTTAAATATGCCCAAAAGTCAAAACAAGCGATTAAAATTGGATCGGAGAGAGTAGCATTTTGTGTTAATAAATTGTACTCGTATATAAAAATCTCAGCTCAATTTTAACTATTTGTTGCAATTCAGTTTCAGATCTATTGGTGAAATTAGATGAGGTTTGAATTGACTGATGTTGAAGAATCGGCAAATGAATTGTTGTTAGGGGTGAAATGAAAGCGTATATACACGCAAAGGTTATGAGAAAGTTGGGATAGTAAATAGGACGATAAATTCGGGAGGGACGAAGTTACAAAAAAAACTGTACCAAGAGTTCTAAAAAACAAAAAATGACATGATTCTATTATTTTATCAAACGAGTAACAAAAATAAAAAGCAGCACAACGCATACACATTGAAGAAAGAAAATAGGATGCTAATGTAGAAGTTCTGGGAAAAAAGTTCACAGCCACACTATTTACAAAGAGCCAGCCATTCATTATGCAGCCTGAGTTGCAGCAAACTCCAAAGCATTATTGTTATTGGTTTTATCTCATCATGGTTGGTTTATTTGGGATCTATTATCGTCATCATCATCAACAACAACAAGTACTAGCTAGCTAGATAGCTAGTAGCCTCCTTGAATGAACTCATTGAGTCGGTTCAGCTCGTTCCTGTGCTCGCTCACCACGGCACGAACCACGTCTCCAATGGACACCATCCCCACCATCGCTGAGTCATCAATGACCGGGATGTGCCTAATACGGTTCTCTGGTCGACAAACGAGTCACCCATTTGGCATAAGTGTACATGGTTAGTTTGTGACAACAACCGCATATACTACCCCGGTCCTACACTACTGTTGCAGTTTGACTTTTTTTATATAGTCAAAATAGACAAAACTTTGGTCACCGATTCAATCAAAATGGAAAACCGACTAGCGTTCCCCAAAAAATGGTGCCCCCATGTTTTACCCACGCCTCATTCTTACTCTCTCCGACATTCGGGTGAAATTGTGCTTGTGAGGGCAAAAATGGGGGGGGGGTTAAAACTGTGGGCTCTTGTTTGACTGGAAAAAGTCAACTTGGACAAATACTCTAGGATGGAGAGTGTATGTTCTGATATTTAGACTGATGGGAGGTTGTCTTTTTTACGGATGGGGGTAAAACTGTGGGCACCTGTTTGACTGAAAAAAGTCAACTTGGACAAATACTCTAGGAAGGAAATTCTACCTGTCATCAGCTGCATGGCCTTCAGAACCTTGGTGTGGGGCGTGACAGTGATGAGCTTATTCTACCAAAAAAAAAAGTAAAAAAACAGACTTTGAGAGGAACGGTTTTTTAGCAGACCCAGTAAAAAAAAGAAACAGCATATTGAATTTACCTCTTCAGTCATAATGTCTCCAACCTTTGTGGATTTTGATGATCTCCCTTGTACTATGATTTTCCTGAGGTAATCTAGTGTAGGAAACAGAACAAAAAATAACAGATGAGAGAAATGATCAAGTGGGAACATTCTATCACACTTTATCAATTCACATCACTCAACACACAATCAATTACCTCTTTCGGTGATAATCCCAGCAATTGATTTCTCTTCCCCGGGTTTCACCACCACCAATGCTCCTACATTGTGGTGAGTCATCTGCACACCCAATTTTCAAGACATATTTTATACCCGAATAACATTTACCCAAATTACTCGTCCGTTGAGCTAAATTTGTCATGCAAAAATTGTGCACTACTCTTTCTGAGAACACTACACAAAAAAAGTAGTTTTGCTTGATCAAACGCAACCTTTTTTGAGACAAGAAATTGTTAGTGGATGGAGTAGAATTGTGTCTTAGGCTATGTATTATGAGCAATTCTACTTTGACACCACTCATGACACCAAGTTTGACGACAACACTGTGTCCACTCATGACACCAAGTTTACATATTCCTATTCCTTTGATCATTTGGACATTAGGCATATAATCAAGGACGGGAAGAATAACATTTGCATAAAGAAAAAAAAGACTCACCGACTTCACGGCGTCATAGACCGAATCCTCTGTGGTGCACCACAGCCATGACCCATCTGCACCTTTGCCCTTAGATTTCAAGACGTCAGAGATGGTGGTGCTTTCAAACCCGTGCTCTTCCATGCGGACAGCTGAAGTTGTTGACTCGCGACGGGCAAACACGAGCTGATTCGCCATCGGATTGCCCAAACGGGCATGTCTTAAGACCGCCATCTTGAGGACACTCCCATGAGAAAAAACTGCTTGAATTCCTTTTTGCATATTGGCTACAAAGACAAACACCATTCTTATATATTTTTTAGGCTTGTGCTAGGGTAACCCCACATTTTTGACCCCATGTTTTGCACAGACACCCATAGACAATAATTACAGGTCTCTGTGCAAAGCATGAGGTAAAAAATGTGGAGTTACTGCAGCTTGATTCTATTTCTTATTTGATACTTTGCATATGTATATAACATTCAGGCAAACACAAATCTTTTTACTCGGGTTGTAACATTCAAGCAAGATAAAAGTAACATTTTATTTACTCAGATTTTCACACATCACACCAAATCTAGCTCAACTTTCCCTTCAGTTCAATACTTTCTGTTCAGATCAGAAACATTTTTTTCTTCTGTTTTGATCAACACAATTACTTTCTAGAACGAGTAACAGTGAGATTCGAACTTGTGAACTTTTGCTAAAGAATCAGCTCAACCAAATGTTCAGGGCATATTTGTAAACTTATATTCTAACAAAAAAAAAGTGATCAGAATAAGTAATCAAACTTGAAATTCATATTTCCAGAATCAGAAGAACATAGATGGAACCCTAACCGCTTGACGAAACCAGGAAAGCTGAAATGTATGAGGAAAAATCAAAACCACAGAAGCATAAAATGAGTTGAAAGAATGATGATGAGCTTCTGTAATCTTACCTGAGCAAAGAAGAAAGATGAAAAGGTTGAAGAAGAAGATGAGAAGAAAGGGATGGGGTGGTGTGGGGTTTCCATTATCCAAAGAGAAAACTTATCTAGATGATGGACGGTCGCGATCTTCTGTTGTACATTTGTCAGCATCCCAGGGAAGGACCGTGACCCCTCACCTCATGCTTTGCTCATGTGAAATATCCACAAAATTCAAGTTCATTATATAATTTATTGTGATACAAATTTTTATACCACTGGAGGCCTAGGATCTAAAACAAACCAATCGAATATTATGAAGTTTTATTTGTCATTACAAAAAAACATGCACTTGTCATGAAATTTGTCACGGATTGGGATTCTAAAACAAATACATGTATTTGAAATACATTCATATTCATTTTTTATTCGAATGATTATTACTATGCATATTTGAATCGATATTGAATTATAATTATTGATTCGGATTGTGTTATAAAATAGTATAAATTGAGTTTTTTAATGTTTTGTAGCTTCAAATTTTTAGAATCATAGCATCTGAGGATACGTCAGCTGTATGACAGTTGATCAAAGTGTTTTTGCTGAAAAATAAAAGGAACTTTGGAATGTATACTGCTCTAATAGTGAATTAATGGTCAAGTGTAGTGCTCTAGTACTGGGTCTTCTTATCAATTACTCCATATTTTTATTCATATTTACACATTCATTCATACTCCGTAATGATTTAAGTACCTCTTTTCCTACATAGCGCTCAAAATCTAAATGTATACTATCAAGTACTCCGTATCAATTATGGAGTAACGCACTAAAAAAACAAACTATAGAGTATTCTTTAAAGAAGTGATGGTTATTCTACTTTATTACACATTATTAAATAAAACATACCGAATATAAGTAAATAAAAAGAAAGATGCTAGAGATACACTAAAGATATATCCCATATGTCCCCCACCCCCTCCTTGTCCGCATAAAAAGACAAGAAATTCAAAAAAAAAAAAATGGTAGTGGAAAAGGGGGTGGTGTATATAGGTATACCCCTAGTATTGATTTTTAAAAGATTTAAAAAGTCTATATTTTAGTGTTTATTTTCTAAAAATATCCTTGGATGTAATGGGTAAAAGTAGATATAATGGGTAGATTAACAGTGAAAATGTGATGTGATAGTTATGTTAAGAATGAGTAGAGACAAAAGTATTTTTTAATAGAAATGATTTTTTTAACATATTAAAAAAAGAAAGAAGAAAGATTTAGTGGAATGAAAGAAATATTAATTAGAGAGAAGGGCAGGCCAAAGTGAGTTCTTAGAACAAAGTGCTTCTTAATATAGATCTCTCTCTCTCTCATATAGCCTTTATAGTGGATCTTATCTTACCGTGGTGTAGTAAGGGGAAAATTATGTATTCTACTCGGCTAATTAATAAAGTTCGTATATGCACTAAAACCTGTATAGCTAGCTGCGGTGTAATGGGTGTTTTCAAATCAATAAATTAATCAGAGGTACTCATTATATCTAGTACGATGTAAACGATGGGGGTGCTAGCTAGAATACATGTGCTGAGAAAAAAAGGGAAAGGTAATAGAAGTTGAGGCTAGTAAATGTTTGATACCGTAGCTAAATGGGTTTTGTGTAATCAAGTGTTTGATTGTCATCATTTCAAATCAAACGTCCCTTTTTCCCAATTCCCACTACTCTCACTCCTACTTTTCCCTTCATCTCACAAAATCTTTCTCATTTTGATTTTTAAAAGATTTAAAAAGTCTATATTTTAGTATTCATTTTCTAAAAATATCCTTAGATATAATGGGTAGAAGTAGATATGATGGGTAGATTAACACTGAAAAATGTAACGTGATAATGTGTTAAGAATTAGTAGTATAGGGACAAAAGTGTCTTTTTAATAAAAATGATTTTTTTTAAACAAATGAAAAAGAAGAAGAAAGATTTAGTGAAATGAAAGAAATATTAATTAGGGAGAAGGGCAGGCCAAGGGATTTCTTAATGCAAAGTGCCTCTTAATACAGGTCTCTCTCTGTTATAGTCTTTATGGATCTTATCTTACCGTGGTACAGTAAGGGCAAAATTATGCAATCTACTCGGCTAATTAATATACTCCGTATATGCACTACAACCTGTATAGCTAGCTGGGGTGAAATGAGTGTTTTCAAATCAATAAATCAATCTCAAGTACTCATTACATCAAATACGATGTAAATAGGGGGAGGCTAGCTAGAGTATATATGCTTAGAAGAAAAGGACAATATAATAGAGGTTGAGGCTAGTAAATGTTTGATACCGTAGCTAAATAAGTTATAGTGATGTTGGTATATATTAATTGAAAGTCTTAAATCCAATGTCTTGGTCCAATGCGAAGAATTACCAATTAATTTTTTTTTCATTTTAACTAAAAAGTTACGTCTAAGATTGATTGAATAAGTAAATATTACTGGGTGAATAAATTCTCTAAGGTATTGTTTGGCAATTAGCATTTCATTTCAATTCGTGCAATTCAATTCCAGAATTTGAAATCTTGAATTTCAAATGAAAAGGGGGTGCATGGATTTCAAATTAAGCTTTGTTATGAATGAGAAGAATTTGACCCAAATCCAAATTCAAATTTTTTAAGTTTTCCAAACATGGAATTTGAGCCAAATCCAGATTTGAAATCCAAATACATATTCCCAAACATACCATAATCTAAATTAAATCTGAGTTAATTTCAATATGATTTTTTAGCGTAATTTGAATTTAACTTTTTTTAAATGGTATTGAATTCGAGTTTAACTAATGCATGTCGAATTTAATAATTTTTTCCTACTCGATTTAAGTTCAAAATGAACTCAAATATTTATTTTTTTCTATTCACACTCAAGTTCAAATTCAAACATTTTAAAAACTAAACCGGACGAAGTGATCCGGTTCGGGGTTGATTTTGACTCCGAACTGCAAGGGCCCAAACTCTACAATTATTAAACTTCTCCCCAAATTCAACATATAATTCGCCATTCTTCCACATACGCGTACGAATACGAGCTCAGGTATTTCCTTTTCTACGCTCCTTCTTCTTCTTCTTCGTCTTCTCTGCGTAAACCTCAAACCTCATCGCATACTTTCATGCAAAAATCATGTCCACTTTCAATTACACAGATAGGAAGCACAATCAGTATACGTTTTAATCGCTAGTGATTTTTCAGGAGCTTAAATGTTCAAGTTCTGCTCCGGAAATGAATCAGCTCTCGAATGCATTTTCAATGCTGGATTTGGATGTTTCGGATAGCCAGGAGGACTCGGAACTTGCTGCCATAGGAGTCGGTGAGATGAATTTTTTGAGCTCTGGTAGTAGTGAAAATGGAGTCGCGGAACTTGTTAATTTGAAATTAGTCTATCAAAACGGAATTAATTAGAAAATATTGAAACCTTTTTGGTGTGAGATGATAAAATGCATTGAGATTTTGCATCTTTGTTATGTTTACTTACATTGCTTGTCCAGCAAGTCAAAAACTGTATTCCGTGAATTGATGATGATACAGGAAAAAGGAATAAGGAAGACGACTGCTCGGGAGAGGTGACTAAGCTAGAAAATGATAATGATGGGGAGAAGGTGGGAATTGGCAATGAAGAGTTCAAGTTGCCACTTGTTTGGATTGATCTCGAAATGACTGGTAATGGTTACTCATAGGACGTGCTTATCAAATTTTTTTCAGCTATTACTTCACTGGAACTGATCAGTTGTTCCTCCATTTGATCTCTATGGACATTTGTATTGCCCTTGATGTATCGCGCAACTTAAAGTTTCAAACACCAATACTATTAAAAAATTTGACAATTGTTATTTATAACATGACATGCTAATTCCTGTAACACGAGAAGCAAGTAGCATTACTTATTCTGCATCCATTTTGGGGTAATTTTTCACCGGTCCATAAGAAATAAAAAACAATTGTGTATAAATGATCTGTTTGATCTATTCCCTTCCACATTTCATAGATGACTTGTTTTTAAGACTGTAGTCTGAATTTGTTTGGGTAGCTCTCACTGACGGAAAGTTAACCAAGGATGGTGGCCTTGTAGGTTTGAATGTTGAAGTAGATAGGATATTGGAGATTGCTTGTGTGATCACTGATGGAAAGTTGACCAAAATTGTTGAGGTAATTTATGAAATTCTCTCTTTATGTTTCCACTGCCTTTTCTACACCATCTTTTAGAACTTGCACTTACCAAGTTGGCATACTCATATTTTTAAATATTCAATGTTAAGAAGATGAAAGTTGATATTGGCATGTTAACATTTGTGGGGGAACCTGATTGAGGCTACTTTCTTTAAGCATGTGCATGAGAACTTGCCAATAGCATGCCATTAGTTATCAGAAGTCATAGATCCTTGCACTTTCTTTAGAATCAAACAATGCAATTGGATGAATTCATTCTTACTTTATGTAAAATAAGTAATGGACATTGGGCCAATTTGTTCCGGCACCCTCATGACACAATGTGATATGGAGGGTGATATGACATCTAATCTCTGGAGGTTCACATACCATTGTGTGCAGAGGGATATAATATACCAGTGGGCTTAAATGAACTTATCATATTCTGCAAATAATACAGGGACCAGATTTAGTCATTAATCAACCAAAGGAGTGCCTTGATAATATGGGAGAATGGTGTCAAGAGCATCATGCGACAAGTGGTAAGTTGCTTGACCAATTCCTGCATTTCCATTAGTCATTGTTTTGTTAAGGTGAAATAGGACTACAGGAGAAAGAAATAAAGAGAGAAGTACACGAGAAATGGGGAATTTTTGTTGCTTGGGGAGAACATATATGGAAGGAGAAATGAAAATTGTGGGCCCCCCACGTGTATTGTACCTTCTTACGTATGGAGGAAAATGTATTCCTTCTCTATTACTACTTACTAGTAATTTCTTCTCCATTTCTCTCATACCAATAAACACACATTGTCTCATTTTTAATCTTCTTTATCTATTATTACTCATTTCTCTCTATTTCTTCCCTGAACCAAACAAAGTTTTAGTGATATGCATTCCCTACCAATGAATACTTGTTTTTGATATCGTCTATTCTTCCACCTTTCATACTTTGGAGCATTATTGCAGCGTAAAAGCCTGAATGAAATCATGAAACTAAATCTTTTTGACGTAATGTAGGTCTGACTGAAAAGGTGCTTGGGAGTACAATCACTATTGAAGAAGCTGAGAAGCAGGTATATTTTGCCTCGCAGGGTATAGCTGACAAGCTAAATTGATTCATTTGCATGGCATTTATAATGCTATCCCCCCCCCCCACACACACACACAAAAACCATTTATTTTCAAATGAACTGCCATGCAAGGTTTACTGTTGAGTGTCAATCCAGTTCTTGTATGCAGAACTGTTTGCTTCTCGTGCAATATAGTTTCAGAATATTGTTTTCGTATCTCTGTTCAGTTGTACATCAAAAACTTGGCATATGTGAACGTTTGCTGCTAAACAAACTATTGTTCCTTTCTTGGTAATTCTATTAAAATTATCTTTGGACACTTGTAAGCTTTGTAATCAAGATATTTTATTTGTCATCCATGAAAGATCTTCCCTTCAACACATATATACACTGGCTGTACCTTGTTAATCATTTCCTGTTTTTTTCTTGCAAGTTATTGCCACTTTTGGTCCCAATATTTCTAGTTTTGCCTGCATTGAGACCCTCAGCTCACTGTAAAACAGGCAAATCTAGAAACATTGGGGACCAAAAATGGCGATACTTGTTTTTTATGCCATAGGTTATCGAGTTTGTGAAGAGCAATGTTGGGGGCACATACTCCCCACTTCTTGCTGGGAATTCAGTTTATGTTGATTTCCTCTTCTTGAAGGTATGTGAAAACTGTATAGTTGTACTATCTGATATTTTTTCCATTTAGAATGATATCGGATGGAGATGTAGACATGTAATAAGGAATATACTCCGTATATTTTAACTCAAACTTAATAGTTCAAGCATAAATTTTCAGATGAAATGATAGTTTAAGCTAGAAGTGGAATATCTAATTCCGTTTTCTTTTGTGTGGCAGAAGTACATGCCGGAACTGGCAAATCTTTTCTCACATGTTCTTGTTGATGTCAGCAGTGTCAAGGCATTATGCATCCGTTGGTTCCCCAGAGGTGAATTGCCATCACTCTGTACTTGGCTTGTCAAATTGATGCCCCCCAAATTTTTCAACAATCCACTAAACCCTCCCATCATCTATTAAAAATTCAAAGTTCATTTCAAGAAAATCTAATCTGTGTCCCAGTTCATGTGATAAAGACCTCAATGCCACACATAATGAAATCTGACATAATGAATTCTGTGTTAAGGGACTTGGAATGGAAGGGGATAAATGGATTGTTTCCAAATTCTTTTAGAAAAGAAAATTGGGAGCCATGCCCCCCCCCCTGCAACCCCAAGCCCCACCCCTGTCCTCCCTCGTCTTTGAACAATGTCATCTATCGTTTTCCCTACAATAACCAAACAAAGAAGTTATTGAAACATAATTTCTTCACCAATTTCCCTACTGACCAAACAAGATAAAGGTTTTTGGTTTATTCAACTCTCTTTTCATTCCCTAAACATCTTCCTTTCTCCCATAATTCCCCGAACCAAACATAGCATTATAAGTAAAGGGTTGTTTCAGTGGTGTTTTTGGGTGTTAATGTGGTGTCGGTTTTTGCATATATAGAGAACAAAAGAGCTCCACGAAAGGAAAACAAGCATAGAGCTATGGATGACATCAAGGAGAGCATAGCAGAACTCAAATACTACAAGGATAGCATCTTCAAATTTACCAGGTTCAGGAATTAAAAGGAATCTTCCACCCGGAAACCGGGGACGGGCCTTTTTGCAACAAAAAAAAAAAGATGTTTTCCCATTTTGTGTATAGTGTGGCAATTTATGAAACTTCATACTATGAACCATCTCTGCAAAATCATCACCCTAGTGTAATGTGTCATGATTTTTGTGATCCAAACAAGCCTTATGTGAGCCTCTGTATGGACGTATGATAATATTTGGTTAGAAGTTGTTTCATTATCTGTTTTTTCATTCATTGATATTCTCTAAGGGCACGTTTGGCACGGTGGAAGTTTTGCCATGTTTGCTTCAACTAAAGGTTTGCTCGTGTTAGAAATTATGAGCAAAAAACAAATCAAAATGGACAGGGAATACTCTCTTCTTATTTTAGATTGTAAATATTTTCTCCGTTTGGATTTGGTCATCTACTTTTTTGTTTTCATTTATCCAAAATTAGTTGTTCATTTTTTTTTCATTTAGTAAAGAAATTGTGATAAAGAATCTAAAATATCCTTGAGAATTAGAAAATAAGAGTGAGAGCATTGTCCACTTGAATGAATGACAAACTCATATCAAAGGTATTTGATATTTTAAACTCATCAACACTAAATTAGTAAATTCAATAAAATCCCACACGATATTACCCATTTTTGGAAGGAGACTTTAGAGAAACTCCAACTCAATTTTAATCTCATATCCTAAAATGAGTTTTTTTTAAAACAAAATAAAAAGTCAATACTTAAACCCGAACGGATGAGTATTTCATCATCAAGCACAATCCTATATATTGTGCAAACACTCCAATCACCCCATGGCATGTCCCTAAAAACACATTATTGCATCATTCATTTATGTGTGTATGAAAGGGAGGCAGGAAACTCTGTTTTCTCCCACACAAGTTTACACACACATTTTCAAAGTAACACAAGTCGTAACGCTTGTGATAAATATAAATTACAACAAATATCTTATATAGCACTTGTCGTTACTTGGAACTCGAATCCTGGCTGTGTATCGCTTGCCACATTTCCCTTAAGAAATCTCTCTGCACCCCTGCCGAAGGCCCCACCCCTGCCCCTAGTGACATCTGAAAAACAAAAAAACTTTCAAGCATTGTGAGTAGGGGTAAGTCTTGGAGGATTCTACTGGGTTGGTTTTTTGTTGTTGAGGATCAGTTTGTTTGATGGAACAATATTTTACGAGAAAATGTTTTCTAATTTTCATGTGTTTTGGCACATTCGTGCGTTTGTCCACAGCAAAGAAAAAAAATCCACAGCAAGTTGTTTTCCTACAAACAAACAGTTCCTTATTGTTAATCATCTTAAACTTTCATTCCATTTCCTTTGTGGAGAAATAATACCTGATGGGGAAGTCTCCAAGGCATTGCATTTCTGGTGTACATGACCGGCCTTTCTGAAAACCCATTTAAAAGGATTTTAATTATATACTTCAAGTAAACACGGTAAGAAGGTAGATAAACAATCAAGAAACAAATCATAACATAACCGACCACGAGATTCGTTTTAAATATCTACTATATGTAATGAGCTTGCTGGAAAAAATAATTTTAGCCTTTGAAAAGTTATCATAAACTCACCCGGTGAACCTTCAGGCAAGGTATTATACATATTCATGGTAGCCACCCAGCCTGTATAAATCAAGACAGATCATTATTATATTTGTATATCTATAAGCCCACACAAAATTATATGCTTCTATTCAATAGTACTCCGTAAAAGAAAATAAAATGTGCTATGATTTTTGAAAATGTACTCCATTCAAATGGGGGTCATATTGCCAAGTCAAATCTTTCTAAATGCCCAAATGGTAAAAAGGGGGGGAGAAACAATGAATTGGGGAATATAACAAGTCAGCAATATTTAAATCAGGAAACTGGACATCATTTTTTGACAGACTAAACATTAAGGTAGACAGACAAATTGGGGAGCAGTGGAATATAAAGGAACCCATTCATGGTAATGGAAAATAAAAGTTACTGTTCTTTTTTGTACATTTATATTGATTATGACACAACGAAGGGAGGTTAGTTAAAAAATTAACCTTTTTCAACAGAAACTATTGACTGGGAAAATAAAAATTATGGACCAGACAAGCATGCTTTTGTGAAATTGTTCCAGATTTGAAAAGTAAATTACCATATTTAATAAACCAATTTTTCCTTCTATATTTGGTATAAGTCATATAATAACAACACATACATGTACATAAATACATTGAAACTTGTAAGTGGGTTTTGGAACTACACGGATAAGGTCTGATATGGGAGCATGTCTGTAGTATATCAGAAATAAATGGCTTGCAATAATGGATTTACAAGAAGCAAAAAGATAGACAATTCATCTCATTGAGTGATTGAGGTTATGGTCATGATTCAACATGGATTCCTATATGCAGCTAACAAAACAAGCACACATCAATGGAATACTTTTTTAAAATTGAATTTGAAAACAAAAAATGGTGATTGGGTTCTGCAAGAAGGCAAGAAACTGGCTTAGACTGAGGAATGGTATCATGAACAAACACGTATCAGCAACAAATACGGTATCACAAATACGTATCAAAACTTGAACATCCAATTAATCGCATAAGAAACAAATACGGTAAGTGTGCACTTACGATCATTCAATAACTGAACAACTTCACTATTGGAACACCCATTTAATGATATTACATTTAAGGTTGATCCACTTGGACGGTGCTTCTCATTAGTGCGGCCATTGCCACCTGCGTCCCCATGGTGATCTAGACTTGCCATATTTCTTAATATGCTATTTTGGTTCTTCTCTCCATCACTACTGTAACTATTTGCTCTTTCAAGACGATCTGCACAATCAAGTCATTGGATCAAGTTATTTACTCCTATGGGCCTATCATGCCATAGTTCTTTTGACTCCGGGTTTTGATGTCATAATATGACCCCGGGCCCTATGGTTCTCCGTTGGACCCGATACCAGGTCCTACCCCCTCCCTCTACGCATTATCATGTAAGTAAAATAATCTACCTTTCCTATAATAAAAAAAATTAACCAATAGATAAAGTAATTATAAACTCAGACTTGCTGCTTACATGGTTTGAAACTTTTCTAAATGAGTCATGAGTTCAAAATGTGGCAATAATCAAAACCAAGCAGAAAATCTGTTTTTTTTGTTTAAATTGGATAATACTCCGTATTAGGTTAAAGAGAAGCCTCTGAAACACTGATCGCAAGACACAGAAATGTTTCAACATGATGATAGAAAAAGGCCTGAAATTCATCAAAATATCTACAATTTACTTATAGGCTCTGAAATTCTTTGCCAATTTGTCAAAAGTTCAATTTTTTCCTCTTGTTTTGGGTTATTAAAATGGGGGTTACCAACCTATACCAGATTTGCGCCTTCCAAGAGAGCGATTCCTGCGTTAAAAGGAGAAAACGGCCACAAGTAGTTTAAATAACAGTTGTGAACTCAGAAATGCATATGCAGGGCACAAATGCAGGAGATTATTTACCGCTGGTTGGGAGGTGCATATCGCTTAACAGAAGCAATGTTGGCGGTGGCTGATGAATCGGTGGCGGGAATTTCTAGCATCTTTTCTCGTCCTCGGAGAGAAGTCCTCCGGCCACCGCCACCTCCGTCGCCGAAGCAGGTGTGATGATAAACAGCCAATAAATTGTTGCTACGATAGACACGTCTATACAAATTGCATATGGAGACTAGTGGAAAGCACCGAAATTGTAGATCGGCGGCTTCTGCTTCTCGCGTCGAACTCCGGCGTCGGAGAGAAAGAGAGATAAGGGTTTCTGTTCTTGGACGCGTAGTTCGTTGGTGATTGATTTTGCTCAGGCTGTACCTACTACTAAGGTACATGTGAGCATCTCCAACCATGTTTGTTATATAAATTTGCTATTTTTACATTATAGCAAGTGAATAGTGATATAACAAGCACTTTTTTGTTTCATTCTCCAACCATAATTTACTATTTTATTTTTTAAGTATTGGCTTGCTAAAGTTTGAGGGGTTTGTCATATTTAACAAGTCAAAGTCATTTTTTAGCAAACTTGCTAAAATAAAGCACACCCCTTGGACAAGAACAAAAGTGTTTAGATAGCTATATTATAACTTTTAGCAACTTAAAATGCTATGGTTGGAGATGCTCTTAGTCTTGTAGTATAAAAAATGAGTTTTTTTTAAAAAAATATATGCATATGTAAGCCATAAAAAATGCGAGAACGTTGATGTTTAAAATATAGATTTCTGAACCATGTAAGCATTACTCGCGCATGTATTCCTTCGTCCCTAAAAGAATTACCTTTTTATTAATACATCACATGTAATCACACAAATTAAAAGTTTTTTTTGAAGATATAAAAGTTAAATGAGAAATTAAATTCGAACAGGAAGAATACTACATTTTAATGAAGTCAGCATTATTTAAAAAGTAATACACGTATTCACTAGTGAAAAGCCATTTCAAACTAAAATTTTACTAAAATAAGATACACTTGAATCAATTTATATATTCAAATCATTTTTTCCTTGAACTACTATTTTTGAATGAAATTGTAATAAAAAAATTGAGAATCGAATTAAAACAGGAGCTAAACATAATCAAACCAAAAATGACATGATTTGGGTACAACACAAGCCCAAAATACACTTGAATTGAATATTCGATAGATTTTAGGGATGACAATGGAGAAATTTTAGTCGGGTGAGACTTCATTTTCACTCATTCATTAAGTATACATTTATTACTCGACCAATTCATCATCCGTTACATACAACATTCATCACTTCATCTTCCCATCACTCACGAGTGAAGCGGGTGAAATGAATAGAAACATGTGGTATTAGTAATAATTTCAAAATCATTAATTTCAGAAAATGTAGAATGTAAAAAAACAAACTATGAAGTATATAATACATGATAACACATTTAAGAAGAGAAAAACTTGAATCTGTTTTATTTCAATAAAAAACTCAGCTATGGTTAAGATAAAATCATATGGAGAAACAAATCTTTAAGGTCCAAAGCCCAAGGCAACATCCATATACATGATTGGGAGTCTTCTGAACATTATAATAATAATGCATAAAATAGAATATAAAACTTTCTTAAAATGAATCCAATCCAACTACGATTTCTAACGAAGATGTTATTTGGTGCTGCTATGGATCCCCTGAAAAGCAGAAATCATAATGCATAAGTCAAAAATATTAATATCAATTTTATCGAAAAATATTTTTAGAGCCCATTTTCCATTCAAAAGTCATGCAACATAAGTTGAATCAGATTTGTCAAACGCACAAACTTACTTTTATATGAAGTAGAAACTCAAAGTTATTTTCTAGCAGAGGCACACAATGCCTAACACCTTCAAAAGCTTCATAACAAGCTATGGTTTGTAATTTTTAATATTTTTTTAATTTAAATATGAATGAATCGGGTGATAGATCGGGTGACGAGTTAAAAGAAATTCACCCACATTTGACCCGATCCATCATCAATCCATCTTTAATTTGTCTATCATTCTTTTCTTTAGAAATTTTATCCGTTAGATCAAGTCGAGTGAATCAATTATCAAACGTGTCGGATAAAAATTGACATTCTAAAAGATTCGAAAAGAAATCGATCGATCAATTTGCCACCTCTTTATTAGCTTTCAACATTTCCCTACACTTTCCTTCCAGTTCATTCTAATTCCTTATAGTTTCTTTTGACAAGGACATAAAAATGTATTTATATATGACGAATTTATAATAACATTATATATCTAGATTTATAACATATCATCTCAAACAAGATAAGAATATATTCTTTTTTATTCAAACTTAAAATTTTTTACATATTTATTTGGATAATCATTTAATAAATTACTTTTTTACATTTTAATTTTTACAATTTTTCCAACTTCTAATTTTTTATAACTCATTCTACTTTTTTCAAACTCTTGAGGCCTAGAAGTGATAATTTGAGGAATGAGTTAAGAGGCAAGAATGATGATATGAAAATGACATTCACCATCTAAAAATTGAACCGATAACTGCAGGAAGCACCTAAAGGGAAGCACATTCGCTGGCGCCAGAAGCCGCCGCGTGATCCCTTCACCGCTGGCCGTCGTCGGAAAGACCAACCGAACATCATTATTGCCGTGAGATGGTCGGAATCGAGAGACAAAATGTCAACGCTCGCGAATCAATCAAAGCTCAAAGCTCGTTCAACAATTATCCCAAGTGGATACATAAGGTTATCATAAATTTTTATTCCCTTGATGTGTTGGATCATACGTTATGTGTTTATGCCTGGAAGTGATGGAAATTATGTTAGTTATGTTTGTAGCTCCGAGAAAATTGTTACACGAGGGTTCAGGAGGATCGAACCCGCTTGCTTTGGAAACTGAGATCTACACAGGCCAAAGAACACCAGGTTATACAAGGAATATGCTTTTTTTCCTATGTTTTATGTTTATGTTTATTTTTTGTAGTTGAATTGGATTCATATGTCTGTGTTAGCACTTCACTTCAATGGCATGATTTTGTTATGATTGGTTTGGTTGTTCTCACAAATTGGCTAGCTTTCAAGTGTTTTAGTTATGTATGGTATTTGTTTCTGCTGGCAGGAATTTGTAAAATCAACCTTCCGGGACATAGTTTCAGATGAGTTGCAGAAAATCAAGGTTTTGGCTGATGATTTTGATACTTCAAAATCTGTTCCAGTGACGGATGAGATGTTATGGGAATATGATGGCCTTCACTCTGTGTATCAAGGTGATTGCGAGGAAATGTTGTTGGAGATGCAAAGAATATTCTACGAGGATGTTCGTGAGAGAGAAACAAGAACAGGTAATGCGACTGTGTCTCCCTCATAGTAGCCTTTTGGGATCCTGATGGATTACTATTACACAGACTAAGAAGTTGGTCCTATATGTGATGCTGAGTTCCTTGAGATAGTCATGTTGGTACTTTTGCTTGAAAACAATATGAAGCTTCAGCATTCTTCTCCAATTGGATAATTTCAAATAGTTGAGCTTAGATTTACTATAGCTTATTACAGAAGAAGGCTGCAGTGCAAGCTGGGAAGATGAAGAAGATGAGTACCTGGCCCGTGCAGTTTATGAAAATATGAAACTAAATGATGAGCAGGTATGCTGCAAAGGGTTTGTGGTTAAATCACTCATTCATTATCACACTTTATTGTAAATGCACCTTATTTTGTACCAGTCATTTTCAGCCCATCAAAAAAAATAAGGATTTAAATCCAGATAGAATAAAAGTTTTGTGAGCAATATTGAACTATTATAGCCCCCCTTTGACCCCCCCCCCCCTTAGAATAAAAGTTTTGTAAAGAAATACCATGTTGGATAACGTATATGTTACATTGGTGTTCCTACACCTCCACTCACAGTCGGAATTTCCTAGTACAGAAATACATCTAGGGCATGTAGACAGTAAAAAATTCACGCATGGATCTTTTCTTCCATTTCGTTCACTTTGGTTTTTGGAGTATTTTTTGTTTGATTGTCAGGTTCATTGTATTTATTGTAACTGGAATCCAATATCACATTTCTCTTGGGTAAGTTTTAAACAAGTATGACACTTTTAATAGGTGGCGAATGTGGTTTGGTGCCCAATCTGCAAGCAGGGAGAGCTGAAAGAGACCATTCATCTAATTAGTTGCAATCAGTGTGGCATTAGACTCGAAAGATGTGATGAGGTTGTGCTACAATTTCTATATTTTTTTCAAGTGCAATATTTTAAATGCTTCAACTTGCTTTAATGGCTAAAGTAGACCAGTTTGTGCTGGGTGTAGCTTTTAAAAAATATTTAGCCTATGTTTGTCTCCTAAACTGTTTCATATGTCCTTTGGTCAAGTGTCACAAGTTTCTTGACATTGGGTGGATATCACCCATTGTCTCTAAAGGGGTTTCAAGATTGGGTCTGGTCCATCTGCACCAAAGTTGTCTTGCACATACGGAGATTATAATGTGCACTTCTAACTTTAAATTCATATTTTAGATACTACTCTGTAAGTTATCTACTCGGGATGTAGCAATTAAAACAATGACTGTAAAAAATCCATGAAAAAAATCAATTATCAAATACACACACACACACACACATACATAAATGAAAAGTGATATTTAAAGTCACATGAAAATATATACCCATTCACAAAAAATATAACACCACATTCATTCATAAGACTTGAAAATAGTTGCGCCACTTGTGCATCAAGACATCTTAAAAAGTTGTCACTATGCACTTTCTTAAAACTGGTTCTAGTTCTAAAGAGAAGGAAATTCGTCAATATGTGAAATTCAATTTGATCTGCCTGGCCGGATTGGGCTGAAAATTCAAAGATCAACATGGATCTTGTATTTCAATGCATACATTACATCTTTGGATTTGATAATGATAAATTTTAAAGCTGCTAATTATATATGCAATATAATTATTCATGTTTCACAACTGATTACACCTGTAAACTGATAATTTGAAGACAAACTGCTTACTCATTTGTGTATGTTGATTTTTCTTCATATAATGTCAGTGAACTTATAAATAGTAGTTTTTTCTATTGTTTTTGTTGTGTAGTTGAAGTGTGTCACATCTGCAAATTGGATATAAATTTTCACGGATCAGACTGTGGTCTAACCGATAATCTGCGTGATTTGACCCGCCCTAACCACTAATTCTTGAGCTAGTTTCAAGATTTTGAATCCATTATTGAGTCACTCTTCTCATGTCACTTTCACTTTTCTGAAACTTCTTGAGTATACTCAAAACCATTGGTGGTATTAATGCTTATAGCTCATTCTTTAGGTTTTAGTTCATAGCCTCTCAAGCTCCAAGCTCGTAGAAAGCTTATAGCTTATGCTTGTGTGTTTATTGCTTATTTCTATCTATCATTAATAGAATAGTTGGAAGCTCATATTATGGCAACAGATCAGACACCGTATATGTTTCACATCAGAACAATACCTTATCAGTATCAATGTGTTTTTCACCCTCTACAAGGCATGGCAGTGTCCAAACCATCAAGGCTGGCCTCTTTTGGAATGATTTGGTAGTCGGAATTGAAGTATTACGAGTTAGATAAATTCACATGTGGAATGACAAGAATTCACCCTCAATCCTGCCATAGTTAGTACACAGATGGTGTATGTTTCCTGTCTATTCATGAATTGGAGACTCCCATGAATATCCTAATCCCTAACCTTCTTTAACTTGCCAAATATAGGTATCAGACTCAATCCCCTGGAATAAGCAGCCATTCCAAAAGATCAAATTTTCTTGTATTAATAATTGTTGATTTTTTTCTGTTTATTAAAGCTCTAATGTTAGCTCTATCTAGATATGCACTCAAATATCATATTGCCGTGATCATTCTTATTTGGCTCTCTGCATCGTTCTTGCATTGATAGTTGTTGTTACATGGCAGGTTAATCTGGAGGTACTTCGGAACAGGTTAGCCGGTGCTCATTCTGAGCATCTGGACAGAGGCTGCAGAATAAAACCTGAATTCTCTGCTGAATCAAAATTCGGACTGACCGCAATTTATATCAGGTGTCGGCACTGCAATACTTTTGAAGTTGTTATATAGGCACATTATTTCCTCTGGTTTTTTTAAATCTCCACTCTATGTTAACATTTGTTAGGCCATGGTCTAAATCTGGTGCCAAGTTTGCAATAGCTTTGTCTTATCCAAATAAAACATATAAAATGATGGCGAAAAATTGATTTTCCCAAGTTTTTTTATAACATATTTTTCGTCTATGGTTATAAAAATGAGGTTTTTGAGAGCAATAAAAAAAATAAGAATATTTATGTGTGTTGCAAAGGTTTACGGAGTATTGTACTCCGTAAATTATATACTGTCCACTGTCGTATCAGTTAGAGAACAAAGGATTCTTCTTATAACCTACAGAGTAATAGAGTAATATTCTATACAAATAACTCTCATTTTGTCATTAAAGGATATGTTTATAGATCGATTTTATGTCCTTAACACATTGTGTACCTTTCTCATAAAGATTTATGTCTACACCCCTTCACGACTGGGTCGAAATTGCCCTTGTTCATGGTACACTACTTTCGTTCATAACTAGAGCATCGTGTCGATTTTTATTTTGTTTTAAGTGAAAAATGAACATGTTAAGAGAATTGTCTTTCGACCATGTACGTGCAAACTATAATTAATTAGTAAAGAATAATAGTGATAATAATACTAAAAATAATATCAATATCAACAACATAAATACAGAGCAATTTGACCAGTCTTATGTAATCATCCAATGCCTAATCTCAAGGATGAATGTGGCCATGAACAAAATGGCAATGGCAACACCAAAACCAGCATTCCAAGCAACTCCCCCATCAGCTATGTGGATTCCATAGAATATGTTTGCAATGGCAAATATGACCAAAATCCTTCCAACGTTGTGATGATACCAATTCCAATATTTTCTCACTTTGGCTTCCTTTTTAGGCCGTGCCAAGAACGCAATCACCTGTAATTCATACAAAAAGTACCGCGCACAAAATGAAACAATTGCTTAGCAACAAAATGACCATTATGCAACTATAAAACGCGCATAACTCAATCTCATAATGTGCATGCTCTAAGTATATGCTTTAAGGGTATGTTTTGTGAGAAAAAGAGATCTGTTCTAATATATTTAGATATCAAAATCCTTTTGTGGTGTTTGGCCACTTTGGTGAAACCAAAAGAGATATTGAATTTCATATCTCTAGATATCACTTTCAAGATCTTTTGATTTTGGGAGATATCAATATAAAGGTTTGATATCTCCCTCAATCGTTGACCATTTTTCGCCACTGGCTACTATTGTCACCGCCAATCATCCATGTTGCCGGCCACCTAACATTCATTAAATTATGATTTTAAATCTCACCAAACAATTTCATTACGGATTTTAGAACTCAATTCATTTCTTTCAGATTTCAAAACTCATATCAAATCATACATCTAAAACTCACCAAACGGGTCTTAAGTATCGTGCAAAACAAACATTCTTTAACTTGTAAATATAATCAACATATACACGATGTGCAATACATATCGTAAATCCGATAGCGGAATATGAACAAGACAAACCTGCAAGCAACCAAGGACGAGGATGAAGATGCCAATGCCTTTGTGGGTGTTTACTTTAGTCCCAAGACGATTCTCAAGGACTAGGCCAAAAATGACACCCAAAAGTCCCAAGACAAAACCCAGTGTTTGGAGGGCAATGTGGGAATAAAACCAGACCGGTTCCCATTCCCTGAAATAGCGAGCAGCCATTATCCCAAACGGCACCACTATTCCCCAACCAAACAGGTTTAGCACTCCGTGGCTCCTCCTTAGCCTCCTGTACAGTGTCTTTGTTTGACTTTGACCTATAAAATCACACCACTCACATAAGATTATAAACCAGACATTAGAAAATCTATCTAAATAGAACTAAAATATAAAATTCGTACAAAAATAAGACTTCCTACATTTTTGTCTTCTAAATTAGAGCGTTAGCACCGTAAACATGATGATTTGGCAACGTGTGCCGGTTTTTCACACTTCACAGTACTTTTTTGGCATTATAAGTCATATTGTGGTGTAAAATCATTTGAGAATCTTATTTTGGTATATTAGACATATTTTGTTTCATGTGATTAATGTTTGCCAGCAAGATTCAGACAAACGATAAATTTCATCTACACGTGACAAGGCGTGTGAGAGTATAACATTAGTAAAATTTAATTTGCAATTCCAATGACCTAGAAAGGATATAAGATTATAAGTTACTCTTTTTTTTTGAAGGGACGAGTTTAAGTTACTTTAGTACTTCCTCCGTCTAAAAGATCTTTACGTTTCACTTTTCAGGGGTCACCAACACGACATTAATAATTACTCCGTATTATTTTATGCAAATAAAAATTATAAAAAATGAATTATATTATATTTATGTTATAAGTAATTACAGAATATATTTTTTTCCAAAATTTATAGTCAAAGTTTATAAATTTAATCAAGAAAACTCAAATGCAGGGGGGGTGGAGAGTAAAAGAAAGAAAGAGTGCTTTGACACGTGTTTTTTTATCGAACTATTTATTCGGTCTTAAGGTCCACATGAAAACTGTAGCTCTCATTTTTTCTAGGTTGACAAATAATTTTTTTTCTTTTTTTTGTAAAAGGCCTAATTCTTTGACTATTTTTATCAAATGTAAAAATTTGACTTTTTTTTATCAAATGTAAAAAAAGGTAATAACACTCATGATTTGATTTCAAGTGACAAAACGTTTTGCTTACGAAATGGCAGATCTTAAGTAGTTGTCGAAGTGTTAATGACCCCATATTCACACAATTTTTTTCTTGATAATTATTTCAAAGTATCCCTAATATTTTTATATTAAATACTCGCACTAAGAAAATGATGAGCCCCATCCCTAAAGGTTCCCTAAGACCTGGCCGAACGGTCAGTGAGAGAAGATAAATTAGATTTTGATTGCAGATTGGTGGCAGGGAGTAAAACATGCACATGGTACTTGTACTAAAATCAAGCCTCCTCATTTTAAGAGTCGTTCCAGCTTCACTCCCATATTGACTCGTTCTTGGAACTTTGCATCCTTGCCTAGACATGTAGGGCGATCTGGAACACGATGAACATGGCGGTTTGGGAGCAGAAAGTACCGTTGTCTAACATGACACATCACACATCATCTTATATTGGAGATGGATAAAGTTTTGAGGATGAACTCAAAGTGTGTGAATGGGTGAGCGTTGCATAGTTGACAATGTAAAGTAATGCAACGAGGTAACACCTGAGTTCGATTCTTAGCAACTGTTGTGAGAGACAACTATGATAAACATATGCTCTTTGCAAGTATGATTTGTGAACTCCATCTTTAATCACCAATCTTTAATTAAATCTTTAATTAAATATTTCTTTAAGTATCTTGCCGGCTTTGAGGAGTCCTTACAATGGAGTTCATCTTTTTTCTCTGATTGACAAACGTTGATTTGTATTCTCAAAAGGCGGGAACTTTAATTGCTCGTCTTATCTGGGCTCGTTTGCGGATGATTGTTTGAGTCTTTTGTTGTATTTTGGTTAGCAGTGTTCTACTTATGCCTTTCGTTATGGGGTGTTTCCACCTCCCCGTGACCAGCCCATCAAGCCACTCTTCCTATACCATACCAGGCGTGAAGAGGCGTTGAACCTATGGCTGTGATAGCCATTCTGCCGTGGTAAGCTTCTTTCTTTTTTGTTTCAACAATCAAAATTTAATACATATTCACCATAAGCAATCAAAATAATTCGCATCTTCACACCATCACTTTTTTATCACACCCTCCTTTTTGAGCCCAATAACACATATTTTACTCGTACTCATCAATCCCTTATGAGGCGCGCGCATGGCGCTTCATCAAGCCCGCCATAACACATGATCTTATATTCGTGGTTCGTGTAACACGGTGGGTGACTCGTGGTGGGGTTCAACCAAGTTCATTGCATGTTATACCACCAAACTTTGTATTACCACTTTTGGTCCTTATTTGAGGTTTTGTTACTTCCTTCGACCAAAAAAAAACTCTTTGTTTTCTCTTCGGAACGTCCCAAAAAAAATATTTCTTTCTTTTTATAGAAAAATTTGAGTGGTTCATAATAATTGTCTCTTTTGTGCTTCACTTTTAACCACAGATTTTTATTTTTTTTAAACAGTGTAAAATAAAACTGTAAACTTTTTTTTGGAAAGGAAAGAATATTTTTTTAAAAAAAATACTATGGGAAGTGGAAGATTACCGACCTGTCGTGTAATCCAAGAAAGTGGAGATCTGGTCCTGGTGTTGGGCGAGGCGGAAAGTGGCGGAGGACGGCAGCTGCCCGGCGGGTCCGATCGAATAGATCACCCGGTCAGACGGACGATCGGCGATCAGCCGGAAAGCCATGTAGATTCTCGAATCATCGGCGACGACGGAGGAGCTCCGATTAACCAGCAGAAGTGTGCCCTGATCAGGCTGCACTAGCGAAGGGGACTGCCCGCCGAGATAATACCTCTTCATCGTCGGAGCCCCGCCGTCTCCCACCCACCCCACCACCGCACTGGACCCCACCATCTTCCCGTCCGGCGAAAATCCCATCCCTATGTACGCATTTGCGTTCGGCGCAGACAGCACGAAGCTCCACACGCTCAAATCCGTTCGCTTGTACTGCAAAAACAGAAACAGCCAATTCAAGAAACCAATTTAACCAAAAACTTAATCTTGTGCAGAAAGCTCGTGAATTTTTATATATTCTGAGTAATATTTCTTCTGAACTTTTACAAATAACATCTGGGTTAGCCATATCAAGAACAAATTCAACCAAAAGATTAAGCTTGTGTTTGAAGGTAGCTGGGAAACTTACTCGGAGGATGAAGCTGTGGGAGTTCCAGACAGGAAGACAGGTGAAAGAAGAGGGATCAAAGGGGAGTTGGTTCTTGGGGAGGAGATTATTGGAGCTGCAAGAATCTGTAGTGGGTTGAGAATTTGCAGTCAACAAGAAATGGAAAGCAAATTGTTGGAGGAGGAAGATGGAGAACTTGTGGGTTTTCTTCATTTTTTTCTATCTATGTCTAGAATTTCAAATTGTGTAGTTGGAGTGAGAAGAGAGAAAATGTGAATTGGGGATGAATGAGAGAGAGAGAGAGATGATGATGATGATGATGATGAGTAGTTCTTGGAGAGAAGAGCAAGAGGTGGTTGACAAGAGTGGTTGTGCTGGTTGTTACTTGTTTGTTAGACTATGAAGATGATGATTGGGAACCACCTAATTCATGTCAATCCATGAAGATATACACACACATCTTACATTCTTACCTCTAACTTGTAAATAAGAAGAAACAGAGGAAATGGTTTTTTGGGAATAGTAACAAAATTACCCCCTTCTTCCTCTCTTCATTAACTTCCCTTTTGTTACCGGTGAGACGTCGGTTAGTATAAATATACTACAAGGGAGAAGGGAGAGATCTCGAATTCGAAACCTGAGAGTTGTGATGGTTGGCAACGAGGTACGAAACCTCATTCATATGCCAACTGACAAAGATTATACTTTAATTTGTCTCCTCTCAGCTAACTGTTCGGCAGGTGTTAAGGGGCTCTCGACATTTCAACCAATTTGTGTCAAATATATTTTCTAAATTCTATTTTATCATAGTTTTAGATTACACACTTTTATTAATTATTTGATAAAATAAAATAATCAAATCACTATTTATTTCATAGAACTTTTTTTAAATATCTTATACGGAATATACATTTTGTTTTTCAAGTCCACACCAATTTTGGAACGGAAAGAATATACTACGTACTCCGAATAAGAGAAGATATTAATGATCAGCTGGAGAACCATTTTGCATCATTTATTCAGATAAAAGAACTAAAGAGCAAAGTCACCTGGACAGAAAATAATGGATAATTTCCGTACACATTATTTACAGACACCAAGAAATCTTTTGGACCCAACATCCTATATTGACAATGTCACATGCAGTACTAAAATAACCTAATCCTATACTACTTAAAAATTAACCACCCTCCCCCACCCCCCCAAAAAAAAGGAAAGAAACCTGCAGGAAAAAAACATTACAGAAGGAAAATTTTCTGTGACTGTGCCAAAGAAAATGCAGAGAAAATTTGCAAACTCGGCATGGCCACAGCCGCCGGGGATTTCAAGACGTGTTTGGCAGTAGTGGTTGAGGAAGGATTGAATTCGCGAGCTCTTCGTTCAACTTCACGGGGAGTGGCGGCATCTGCTTCATTGTTTCCGGCATATCTTTCAGGCTGCAGGGTACATACAATTGAAATAAACACAACTATTATGTCCATGAATATTAGTTAGGTAAAACTTACGACTTCAAGATTTTACCGAAGATATGACCTAATACGTGGATAGAAGACCTATAGGCCCTAGTTTGTTGTAGTTTATGTTGGGGTAAATTTCGCTGGTGGTACTTGAACTTTTGGACGTTTTTTCAATTAAGTACTTGAACCTCATTTTCTATCAGAAAAATACATGAACTTTACCAAATCTTTCAAGAAAAAGATTTTAGTAGATTTCAAGTCATCTACCAGTCATTTTGCTTAGTACACAGACCTTACTTTTATGGGAATTTACTAGGTTTGTTGTTACTATTGTTGTATCATGTTTATGGATCCACATTCGGGACAAAATAACTGCAACGAACCAAGCATGAACATTGTTTATAAATTTCTATTATGCTACATATAGTGCTCTTAACATGCACATAGTTTCCACTTCTAACAGCTTCCATTTTTTTTCCACTTCCTTTTCTTCTTGTCCGGCTGTTTATAGACCTTATATATGGTTGTTAGAGAAAAAACACGATGGGCCTCTTTGGTTGCTATAATTAGCTGTGCTAACAGCAGATTATCAGGCAATTTTAAAATCCCATATTTAAAATATATAAAAAATGGTATTGGGTCGCACACACTTTAACAGCAGCATAAATGTCATTCGGAGTATGCAGTAAATATTTATTATACGTACTCATTTAAGATTGAGAGGATATTATTTCGAGTCTGGCAGAAAAGACTGATGTTCTCATGTATCTGCAATGGAAAGAGAGAGTAATAAGAAAAAATTTTAAGTCTGGCTGGCTTGAAAACAAGAACAAGAAAACATATGTGATGAAGTTTTCTCCATTGGAACTTTGTAAAATTCAAAAGCTTTCTCCATTGGAATCCGTTAGCACTAAGTTTTATATCTATAAGAGAGCACGACTCCATTCAAACCTTGAATGAAGCAAAATTTGTAGAAATCTGGTCCAAAGAATGGGAAATATGTTCGAGGAGCTGTCCAGTGGGGCCACCGATATCTGCAAAGACACAACGCCAAACAAGAGGTCGTGTTGGATGGGAATTAATAAATGAGCATATGAAAGAAAAGTAATGATATGAATCTCTACTATCCATAAAACGACCAAATAGCACACGCAAAGGAAGAGCACATAGTAATGTAGACAAGAAGCGCATACCGACACTAACAACTAGACCCAAAGCATAGAAACTGCACATGCATAAGTTACAAGCTAAAGTAAAACGCACCAGCAAGAGCTACAAACTAAGGCCCAAAGGTGTACCCTACTGCTCTAATCCTAGATCTCGAAATCTCCAATAAATTATAGACGTAACTTTACTTTAAATCCTACGAGACACATCTTTAATGTATGGATTGTATGCTAACCAGAAATAGGGGAATGCACGGTGAATCATGCAATGATGTCTCATGTAGACCATTCCCTCACAAATTGGTTAGATATTGAATTATTGATGTGGCAAAGTCAATTATTTAACCCTAGGTCTTCAACACAAAGGAGAGAGTGAGAGACAAGAGGCTAGGTTTCAATACGCTATGGGTTTTTATTTGGATTGAGGGGGATTGGAGGGTTTTGGAAATAAGTCTAAAAACAAGTAAATGGTGGTTGACATGTCATCTGACAACCTGTGAAGTCATTCTGTTTAGCCCTCCAAAACCCTCCATCCAAACTGACCCGAAATCACTCTTGTATCCTGTTTCAAGGATCTTAACTATGCATTCAAGCAAGTTCTAATCATGCATGTATCATAGATAACTGTAGAGAATGAACACAGAACATACCTTTGTAAGAGATTCCATCATCATTGTCCAATGGTGCTGCTGAATGAGCATAGACAGGGACGTTTGTTTGATTTGCAACATGTGTGGATTTTGGCACAGACTCAGTAACTTTTTCCTGGAGAAAAACAAGCAGAAGAGAAATAAGCCACTTGCAGATCATGACTAACCACTTGTTGCACACAGACTTCCTACCTTTTTTTCTTTACTTTTCCTCGACGAATTATGATCTTCTTTTCTCCGCTTGCTGTTTTCCTTTTTCTATAACAAAGCAAGAAAACATTCATTCAAAGAATACTCTTAACAGTAGTTATATACCAGGCCATAAATCCAAAGTGGTTGGGCTATATTTGATTTCTATGCTTTTAAAACTATCTAGAGCAATTTACTACTACTCAGTAACTACTAAGCAAGAATCTACACTTTTGTGAAATGCCGATTAACTCTAGACATCCCACTGAAATAGAAAGAAATGGCTCTCAAGGTGGCCCACATAAGCACAAAATTTATGTTTGAGACTTTGAGCAGTCCATGAATACAATGATGTTTACAAAAATTAAACCAAGTACGGAACCCAATATACCTAAATATCTAGGCATATAAT